AGGAAGAGGAGAGGAGGATGAAGAGGAGGAAGAGAAGGAAGAGAAAGAGGCGGAGGAGGAGGAGGAAGAAGAAGAAAAGGAGGAGGAGGAGAAGGATTATAAGACCGAAAGTGCGAAACCCATTCGTTTTACGGTTCAATCGATTTCGTTGGAAGACAGACAAAGGAGAAGCAGAAGAAAGAGACCAAAGACCAGAAATGAAGAAAGAATCTAATTACATTGAAAAAATTGATGCCATTTAATTATCACAATACACCCAACGGAATAACTGAGTTTGTTAATATATATATATATATATATATATATATATATATATATATATATATATATATATATATATATATATATGTGTGTGTGTGTGTGTGTGTGTGTGTGTGTGTGTGTGTGTGTGTGTGTGTGTGTGTGTGTGTGTGTGTGTGTATGTGTGTTATAATCAAAACCCTAATCACATACTTCTATTTCACATCAACATCAAACTAATAACAATGCCCTTAGATATATTATTTCATCTGACGTTATACTGAACAAACAGAATAATAAAAAAAAAAGCCAGAGATTATCTTTACGAATATCCAATAATAAGAATATGTCAGTGATTATGATAATAACTCTATCTATAACAGAGATATTTTGGTACATAATGGATATAAGTATATGGTTTATTTAAGTAAATACCGCCTTGTAACAATATTATCATTTCTTTACCATAGAGAAATGATTTCTTTAAAGTATATTTGTAGGAAAGAAAATATCGCAAATATTCTTGTTTATTTCCTGTCCGCTTTTGGTGCATTTATATATTTGGTGTTATCTTTAGATTGCTTTTATACTTGACTGATCACTTTTAAGAATTCAATTTTGAGTGTGATGTTTCCTTGGAGTGAGATGTGCGATTTTGAGGCAAAACACATTTTCTTTTATCTTTAGAGCGTGAAGGAAAATTATAATGAAAGAGAAGAAAGAAAAGCGAATCACACACACACACACACACACATACACACACACACACACACGCACACGCACACACACACACACATACACACACACACACAACACACACACACATATATATATATAACTTCCACACACACACCACATATATATATAACTCACACACACACACAGATATATGTGCGCGTGTGCGAGTGTACGCATTTTTTTCAGCGACCACTACATAATAGAGCTGTTTAAATGCCTTTAGAACACTGGTGACAGAAAATGACACTCATTGTGAGATATCTTACTTCGGCTTAGCGAGGGTCGAAGTTGATGTTGAATACTAAATAGAAGAAAAAGATATATGACAGCAGTAGACACTATTCGAGGGGATGGGGGGTGGGAGATATTTTTTAGTTAAATAAAAGACAAAATAACCCGAATTTTTTTTCCAGAAATCTATAAACCCGCCGGCTTTTAGACCGAAAAGCAAACTATAATCCAAGAAGGGAGATATTTTTGATTAATAAAAAAAAATAACCGAATGTTTTCCAAAAATCTATAAACCCGTCGGCTTTTAGACCGAAAACCAGATTATAATCCAAAATGTTGTGAAGTGTCAAAATACGGCAGTGACATCAGAAAAATACGAATACGGCAGTGACATCAGAAAAATACGAATACGGCAGTGACAACAGAAAAATACGAATACGACAGTGACACCAGAAAAATACGAATACGGCAGTAACAACAGAAAAATACGAAATTTAATGGAATGAATTAAGATATCAAATTCTCTTTATTTCTAAATGAAATTATTAACTATCAACCAGAATTTAAAAACATTTACGAGTCGGTACAAAAACATTAAAAAAACAAAAGGCAACCGAGTATTAACTAAAATATACTTAAAAATAAATAAAGAAAGGAAGAAAAATATCAGCCACAAATCCGGAAAATCTTTATTTTGAAAGAAAATGGTTAAAAAGTGTATTTAGTAACCTGGAGATGGAAATAAATATAAAAAATAATAGATAGGGGGAATATGGCCAAGAATTCGTAATAAACTACTAAAAAAATATCGAAAGATATGGAAGAAAGACGAAGAGAGGATGACAAGAATAAAAAATATATATGAGGTAAAAAACAAAGACGAAATATAATGAAAATGAGAAGGAAAGGAAGAGAAAAATATGCACACTCGACGCTAATCAAAAAACTATGTTTACGTTACGCTTTTTTTTGTTGCAACTTGACCTTCTCTCTTTGACCTTTCTCGTACCTGCAATCTTGACCAACCAGTTTTCTTTTCTTTTTCTTCCTATTGTTATTTACTCCTTTTATTTTTGTTATTAGAGGCACGTTTTATGTCTGCTAAATATTCCAAGCAGACGGTACCAATTTCTCTTTCTGTATTACGATAGTTTTGCATATATATATATATATATATATATATATATATATATATATATATATATATATATATATATATATATATATATATATATATATATTATATATAATATATATGTGTATATATGTATGTATTATTGTACACACACACATATATATATATTCTTTATTTCTCGAGTCATTTTCATTCATCTCTTCACTCTACAGATTAAAAAAAATATACGTGTCTACCTCGTGATTTGTGACTTGAATCAAATGCAAGAAAGGAAGAGAGTGACCCTAATGATGAGGAAAAGATGTACGAAGAGGAAGTAGCCAACAGTTGAGTGATAATTGTTTGAACTATAAGTGCACTCGTACTGATGACTTTCTCGATGATCGTGATGGTTATGATAACGATAACAATGGAGAGGATATTAAACTATAGGATGAATAAAAATGAGAATGTCAAGGATGATGGTAATAATAATAACAATAATGATGATAATAATAATAATGTGGATAAAAACCTAACTTGTTGGGATGGTGACGTTGATGATAATAATACCTAATATATATATATATATATATATATATATATATATATATATATATATATATATATTATATATATATATATATATATATATACGCATGCGAATGTGCTAGTCATCGCATAGCTTACAAAGAGTACAGACCCATCAGCGGAACACCAACGAAAATACAAAATGCGGATTTTAGTCGGCGGGATCCCAGCGCCGAAGCCGTAGTTCAACGACCCGAACACACCCTCGCCTCCCACCGCTCATACGCTGACTTGCAGAGGCTGGCGACGAACGGGACAGGGAAGGACAGGCGGCGGCGGGATCGACTCCGTTTGGCGTTTGTGTGTGTGTCCGTTTCGCGTGTCGTGTGGGTCTGAGGTGTGTTTACGTTAATGCACACTTAAATGATTTGTTTTATTTCTTTTTCATTGTTATACGTAACTTGTGCTTAGTGAGTGGCGGATGAGACAAGGTAGACTCTTTTAAATAGATTAAATAGACACAAACACACACACACACACATAAATATAGATATGTGTGTGTGTGTTTGTAAATGTACACACAACACACACACACACACACACACACACACACACACACACACACACACCACACACACACACACACACACACACATGCATATATCAGTTGTTCTCGATTTATCCTACACATAAATGCGTAGGAAGTACCATCCAGATGTCTTACGTAATAATTTGTCGGTGTGCTTTTGGATATTGTAAAAAGGGGATCCAATTGTATTAGAGTTTATCAAGATTTCTTCTGGTGTAATATATTTTAGTTTATAAAGGGCATATAACAGTTGTATATATATATATGAAACATTAGTATTTTTATTCTAATGGACGAAAGATTAAGATTTCTTTTGATGTAATATATTTTTTTTTATAATGGGCATATAACAGTTGTATATATGTGAAACATTAGTATTCTTATGCTAATGGATGAAGATCTGGTGTAGTATTCGTATGCTAATGGATGAAGATCTGGTGTGTTGCATAAGCGTTGGCTCTACTTTTAGTAAATCGCCAGACTGCAACAGATGAATACCACTAATACCGACAGACAGATGGATAGATAGACACGCACTCATGCATACACAATTTTTTTTCTCTCTCTTTCTCTTTCACAGCAACATACACGAACTTACACTTGGTGGATAATGGGACAAGAAACCCCTTTATAACGACTCATGATTTTATGTACTCTATATGTAGGAGAAGGAGGGGTCGTACATACATATATATGCACACTTATTTAAGTACGTCTGTTTTGTACATATTTACGTTTTTTTTTTCTCTCTCGTTCTCTGTCCTATTTTGAGAGTAAATATTGTTATTAGTTTTTAACTAAATCACGGGAGGTGTGACAGACAGAAATGATTAGTATGTCCCCTATAACGACTGGTATGTCTGTAGTTCATACAATCAGATACGCAACGAAAATTTCTGGTGCATATGAGATGTACAACCGATCTGTTCAAATTGTGCGAGGCTAAATCCGATAAATGTTCATAATACGGACATACACACAGAAATGAATACGTATCTATCAGTCTAGCTATGCATAATAACCCGACAGAGAGATAGATAAATGTATGTTTATCAGATAATAGTTATGCAGATAGATTATGCATTTATTTGTGTATGTGCGTGTCCGTAGGTGTGAATGTTCATTGGGACTCTCACAATTTGAACAAACCGGTCGGGGAACTTGAATGCGTCAACATCAGTTAGAGTGACAGCAACTTGACGATCTCTGAACAAGTTTTAAGTAAAGACAGAGGAAGAAAATTAGAGAAAAAAATGATGACACTGAGCTAAAAATAATGAAAATACTTCATACTATGGACGTACTAATGATATGAAAATTATAATGAGTAATGAATACCTGGATGTATAAATCTTCCGTACTTTCGCATCAGCTAGAGTAGATAAATAGATAAATAAATAAAAAATACACGTACACAAAGGTACAAACCAATACCCGAAGCTAGAACTTACACTGACGGTAAGTTAAAAAAAAAAAAGTACACGTGAGAGAAACCTTCCGACAAAGAAGACTAAACCACTAAACCAGCCCGATTGCGCACAAGGCTTCGAATCCTACCTGAGGACTGCAGGTTGATCACACGCGCCCGGGAAAGCAGGAGAGAGCGCAGGGGAGTGCTTGCGGCGGCGCGGGCCCTCGTGAGACTAAGGACGCAGCTCGTGCTCACTATAACATGCCACGAAAACGACTAACTGCGTCAGTAGTATGACCGAGGGGTCACCACGCACGCTCTCTCTCTCTCTCTCTCTCTCTCTCTCTCTCTCTCTAGCTCTTTCTCTCTCCCTCTCCCTCCCTTCCTTCCTCTCTCCCTCTCTCTAACTCCTCAAATAAGGGCCGTTCCGCCAAGCTCCGCCCATGGACCGCCCACCGGCGAAACCCCGCCCACAGCAGGGGGAAAGCCTCGTCGGGGAAGCTCAGGCTCTCCTCAAGCCGGCGGCCAGAGCGAGGCGCATGGGTCGCTGACCTAAGACACGTCTTTCTCGCTCGCTTCCCCGTTCTAGGTTTCTCTCCTAGAAGCATTTCCTGGTTGTCCTGCCCGGCCGGGTTGCACTCCGCGGTCGGTTCATGCTGCAGCGGAATGAATTCGCTAATTGTTTATCAGATTCACTTAATGAATTTGCTAATTGTTTATCAGATTCACTTAATGAATTTGCTAATTGTTTATCAGATTCACTTGCAAGGTGCCTCAGATGCTGTGGAATAGTAGGCCTTAATTTTGATCACTTAAACTACATCACTCAATAAAACAACAACGAAAAAAAACATTTCAGAACTGTGATACATGAAACGGGAAAAAATATAAAATATGCAAATTAGTGTATTTACCAAAGAAAAAAAACGAAAAATAACGTCAGAACTGTGATAAATGAAACGGGAAAAAAATAAAATATACAAATTGGTCTATTTATCGCCTAATAAGTCACAAGAATCAAGTTTCGCAAAGCCAAAAAAAAAAAAAAAAAAAAAAAGCCACGCAAATGATAGGTATTGCTTAGACCTCGTTTCATCCACGTGACGGCAGAGTTTCACCGTGTTTCACCTTCGTTCAGATTTCTTTGCAGTAATTGAATCTTTTTTTTTTTCCTTTCTTGTGTTTTCTTTTCGTTCATATTTTTTTTTAGTTACTGAATTTTTTTCTCTTCTTGTTTTCTCTTTTTTTGTTCATATTTCTTTTAGTTAGTTTACTGATTTTTTTTATTCTCCTTGTGTTTTCTTAAAAAGGTGGAGGAGGAGGGAACGAGTTGAGGGGAGTGGGGAAAGGATAAGGGAGGGAGAGGAAGGGGTGTGAGGGAGGGGTGTGGAGGGGAGGGGTGGGAAGGAAAGAGGAGGGATGGGAGGAAAGAGGGTAGAAGGGAGGAGGGGAGAGGGGAGGAAAGAGTGAGTGAGGAGGGTGAGGAGACAAGACGAGGAATGAGGGGAGGAGAGATGTGAAGGGAAAGAGGTGGAAGGGAGAAAGAGGGAGGTAGAGTAGAGAAGAGGAAGAGGATAGAGAGAAGGGAGAGAGGATAGTAAGAGGGAAGAGGAAGACGAGAAAGAAGGAAACGAAGGGGGGAGAGGTCTTAGCCTGGACTAGCGACCCTAAATGTGTGATGTTGTTAAAACATGTATCCAACATTTTCATAGTAGTTATACATACATCTTGTACACTGGCTTATGTTATTCTATACTTTTTATAGGTTTATATTACCAACACATTGAATATCAATAGACAAGTGTTAATAAAAGCATTAACTTTTACTGTCATATCCGGTAATGGATTCTTTTATTCAGATATCATTGTTATCAATATTGTTATCATCATCACCATCATATCATTATTTTTATTATCATCATCATCACCATCATATCGTTATCTTTATTATTATCATCATCATCCTTTTTATTGTTGTTTGATTTACTATCATTATTATTTTTTATTAGTTTAAGACCCTCTGGCGACCCTCATGTGTTATTACGTATTTGTTATTACACTCATTTTACTGAAGTCTTTGGCAGTGTTATCATGACTATGTTATTGTACTTCCATGATGATAATATTATTCTCAATCATGTCGTTATGATATGGACATTCTCATCAACAATGATGACTACTGTTTATTAATCATAATTATCATCATCATCATCGTTACGATTATTTTCAATATCATTATCATTATCATTTTAATCATAATTATTGTTATCATCGTTCTTACCATTATATTCATTATGATCATTATTACTGTTATTAGCATAATGTTTATAATGATAACGGTATTGAAAGTGATGAGAATGAAATTGATAATGATATTGAAAATAATGATATGATGATATATAAGATGATAACGTGATTATTGTCATTATTATCATTATCACTATTGTTATGACTGTTATACTCTTAATAGTTTTAACTGTTATTATTATTATCATCATTATTACTATTATCATTATCATTATTATTATCATAATCATTATTGTTATCATCATTATTATTACTATTATTATCATTATTATTATTATTATTATCATTGTTACTAATATTACTGTTGTTATTATCATTTTTAACAATGCCATTATCATGACTACTGCTATATTATTTGTTATTATTATCATTTATTATAATTATTAACATTCATCATCATCATGGTATTTGATCGATTATCATTATTATTACTATCATCTTTATTATCATTACTATCATCATTATCATTACTGTTGTTGTTATTATTATCATCATTATTCCTATTACTATCATTATTTCAATTCTTGTCATTATCATGATTATCAATACCGCCACTACAATACATCATCATACCGTATTTTTTTTATCATTTTTTTTTTTTTGTTATTATCATTATAACTCTTAATGTCATTATTATTATCTCATCATAATAATCTTTATGAGTATTATTACTATTAACATTATTTCATCGTTATCATTATCATCTTTATCATCATCTTTATTATTATTATTATTATTGTTATTAGAAATACTAGTAGTAGTATCATCATTATTATCATTATTGTCTTCATTATTCTTATTACTATTATCATTATTACAATGAATGATGGAAATAATGATGAAATCATTATCATTACCATCATCATTATTATTATTATTTTCTTTATCATTATTATTATCATTACTGTTATGATTATGATTATGGTTATCATGTGTAGTAATCTTTTGTATTTATCGTTGTTATTTATTATTTGTTTTACAATGATAATAATGAATAGTGTTAACTACAATAATATTAATAATGGTGATGATAAATTAATGATAATGATAATGATAATAACCATTATGACAACAATTATGATAATGATAATAATGATAATAATGGTAATGATAATAATAATAATCATAAAATGGGTAATGATGATGATAATAATAATAATGAAAATAATAATAGTGATGATAATAATAATAATGATAATAATAATCATCATTGTAATCATGTAATAATGTTATTGATGACTGATGATAATAATGTTATTAATGATAAAGATGATAAATAATGATAATATCAAAATAATAATGATAAACAATAATAATGATAATAATGATAAACAATAATAATGATAATAATGATATACAATAATAATAATAATAATGATAAACAATAATAATGATAATATTAATATTGATAATGATAATATTAATATTAATAATGATAATGATAATTATAATAATAATGATAATGATAATTATGATACTAATAATGATGATAAACAATAATGATAATGGTAATAATGATAATAATGATGGTGATAAAAACACACACATCCTCCTCCTCCACACACACACACAAACACACACACAAATAAACACAAACACCCCCTCCCCCACCTCCACACACACACACCACACGCACACACATCCTCCCCCTCCACACACACCAAAACACCCCCCCCCTCTCACACACACACAAACACACATCTTAGTTTATATATATCTTTATCCCTAATGAAGCGTTAACAATAGCATGGCAATAACAATTAAAAGTACGATGATGCGAATCAATTAAATAACTATAATAGGTATAAAAGAAACTATTCACAGGAATCACGCACTGGCAACCTAAACTAATAATGGAGATGCTGTCATGTTAATATAGATAAGTAGCAACTATTATTATTATTATTGTTATAATGATGAGGATAATAGTGTTACTATAATAATATTACTAATAGTGATGGTGATAATAATGATAATAATAATGATGATAATAATGATAATAATAATGATAATAATGATAATAATAACGATAATAATAATAATGATAATGATAATAATGATAATAATAACGATAATGATAATGATAATAATAAGATATCATAATAATAATAATGATAATAACGAAGATGATAATGATAATAATAATGAATAATAATAATGAATATATGGAAACACCTAACACACTATGATAACAGTTTTATCGAAAAAAAAATCTTTATTTGTCAGCAGTTAACCTACTATCGTTTATTGCAGATTGCAGACTAGCTGGAGTGAAATCGACGTGGGTCATAGAGGAGGAACCGTACTAGTTTTGTTTTTGTTTGTTTTTGTCGGTTTTTAGTTTTCTTTTTTTCGTGTTTGTCGACTCTTAAACTTGAACACAACAGCTGTCACGGCAGAGACACACGACCTGAGGAATAGTGGAGGACTGTTTTTTATAAACATGTTTTTTTTCCCGCTTTCTCGAACTCTCTTTCCCTGTCTCTGTCTCTGTCTCTGTCTGTCTGTCTGTCTTCTGTCTGTCTGTCTGTCTGTCTGTCTGTCTCTCTCTCTCTCTCATACACAAACACTCCCACCCACACCAAACACATCCTCCTCCAACACACAACCCCCCCCCCCCTCCACATATACACAACACCCCTCCACACACACAACCCCCCCCTCCACATCACACACACACCAAACCCCCCCCTCCAACACACACCCCTCCACCCCTCCACACACAACTCAAACGCACACACACAGCCCCCCCTACACACACAAACACCCCCCCTCCACACACACCACACCCACCCACCTCCACACACACACACCCTCCCCACACACCACACACACACACACACACACACAAACACCCCCCCTCCTCCCACACACACACACACCTCACAGTCACAGTCACACACCCCTCACACACACACAGCCCCCCCTCACACACACACACACTTCCACATCCCCTCCTCCCACATACACACCTCCACCCCCCCTCCACACACACAAACACCCACCCTCCACACACACACATCTATAGCCAGCATTTTTTTG